AAGGTGCCAACCAACGGAGCACTGGAAAAAAGTAGAAGAAACAGGGCAAGTGTCGAGTTGCCCTTCCAGGGAATGCCCTCCAGATTCCAGCAATCTGTCTAGGGACTTCTCTGCATTCAGGCAATTACATGTACTAATGACAAATGGACTCAACCCCCTGCCCCTCCAAGAATTTGTCTCATCCTTTTTTCGTAGCCCGCTTACGCTGACATGCACAATGCCCTTAGCAGCAAATTCTGCGATTTAATTGTGCAACATGCCAAAAAGTAGCCTCCTTTTGTGCATTTTGAACTTGCTGCCTGCCAGTGCCAGGGTGCTGGGTTATCCAGAGGGGAGAGCCTAACAGCAGAAGGATTCCTAGCACTCTGAGCTGGAATCCCAAAAATGCAGGCAGAATCGGTACACTGCAACGAACATCCCTGCACTGATGTTTTCTAAATCAATATGCTGGCTCATAAATGCAGTCTGTCTTGCTCCACAGAGTTAAGGGTGCTTTTCGGTTTGAAATGGGAGGCATGAGAGGGAGGTTCTGCATGAACCATTCCCAGAGCTACATTCCACCTGTCCTGACTTGAGGGGCAAAGAGGATACACCACCACTATCTGTAAAGGCGAGCATCTGTTTGGTGTCCCACCGGGACTTCCAGTTCGCTAGCTGGATCAAACTCTCCTGTCAGGCAGCAGGAGCAGATGGAGACAGTCAGCTTCCAGCCTGGTTCCCCCTCACACTCCCACCTCACAGCCTTGTAGATCATAAGAGGTTTGGACACAGCCCAAGTGCGTAGGACCGACTGTAAAAAGCCCATGAACAAAATCAACAGGAATTGTTCTAATAAGCTCTCAGGCCAAGTCTTTTCCAGGTGAGCACCTTTAAAAAGGAGACAAGCAGGTTCAGGGTCCTTTGGCTGACTTGCAGCTCTACCCCTGCACTTACAAAGCAGGGAGGCACAGGCGCTGGCAAGGCGGTGAGAGCGTAACGCTAAGTTCACTGCAGGTGGGTGACCTTGGCTAAATAATTTCCTTCTCTGTGCTTTACTGTTATCTGTAAAGCAGCGATAAATTCACTGCCCTGTCTTGCCAGGATAGCAACGCTCATTTGCCTTACGCTTTAAGCTGTTGACTCCTTCACGAGTCCCCAGATGAGCGGTGCTCACTGCAACAGCATTGCTAAAGATGGCTCTGGTGGCACAATACTACTCTCTAATCCAGCAACCTCTGTTAGAGGGCTCTGCCCAGTAACAAAGGTGATCCTCATTCACCAAGCAGTGATCTTACCCAAGACTACCCACACGCAAGGTCTCCTGGCTCTCTAGAGATAAATTGCAAAAGGGCCCAGATGAAATTGCAGCCTGAGCATCACTCATTTCCAGAGATCGATGTTCCATAGCATCCAGGGGAGGCTGCGGAGTCTCCTTCCCTGGAGATATTCAAAACCTGCCTGGATGCGGTCCTGTGTGACCTGCTGTGGGTGAACCTGCTCTAGCAGGGGGGTTGGACTAGATGATCTCCAGAGGTCCCTTCCAAGCCCTACCACCATTCTGTGATTCTGGGCAGTTCAAGGTTTGGGGGGGAGCTGGACCAGGCCACTAAACAGGGTTTACAAATAGAGTTCAAATAACTGTATCTTCACCAGAAGGTGACAAAGTAGCAGCAAGTCCTGCCCCTGCCAGGAATACGATAAAGGGTGTGTAGATTCCTGGCACAACTGACATACCCAACAAGGAGACATTCACCATAGATTTCTTCAACTGGTGGAACACATTTTAAAAATAAACATGAGCTCACTCTAGAGTCAGAACATGCAATTTTAAATCCAGCCAAAATATCGCCAGCAAGCCTCACTGATCTTTCATGATCTTTAGCCACTGTTTAAAACTGCGAATCCTAAAACACAGACTGAGGTGGGTTTACCATGCCCAGGCGTGGGTTCTCCCCAGCAATTCAGAGCAAGGAGTCTGACATGAACATGAACAACTGTAGGAACCAAGCCACATGGGAAACAGGGGTAAAAGGCAGAAATGCTTTTAGCAGGGAACTGGGAAGCAAAAACCCACTGATCTTTATCGCCAGTGAATCAGTGCCTTCCCTGGTTGCTTGACAGGCCACAAAGCCTCTCCATCCCTCTGCTCCCTCATCTATAAAGTCAGAATAAAACTGCTCCTACCTACCTCTTGGACAGTGTCACACTAGCACAAATGCTGGACAGTGTCAACCAGAAGACTTACAAAATGGGGCAACTGCTCCTGCTCCGTCTTGCAGATCAGTAAATTAAAGGAACCTCATAGCGTCTGTTCAGTGGTGTTTATTTTTAAGTAATGTTATGGAAGTTGTATAACATATAGAAGTATAATGTATAATGTATAGAAGATGGCACGGATTTTTGTTGTTTTGCATTCTGTGAATTTACCTCAAGTCCCAGAGAAAATCTGTGTCTGAAACATTTGTTACAGGTGGAAAACAGAAAGACAGAACAGTGCCTGTCTGTCTGTCTTCCAATTTAGAAAGCTTGCACTATGGAATAATCTTGTCATGAGGTTATGAAGCTACAAAAACTATTTTAGGATTAAGTACGGGCCCTACCAACCCAGCCCACAGAATCAGCTCTCACTGGATCAGTGTAGTTTACGATTTTCTGCCAAAAAGAAAAACAGGCAATAGCTTAGAAGTTAAACCTGCTTTAAAAAGAGGGATTCATAACTTTTCTGATGAGGCTGGTGCCCAATCTCCTTTGTGCCACCACTGTAAAACACTATACACTTATACAGGATTTCCCATTTCCAGTGCACAGATATAAATATCTGCAAAATATGATGGACACAAGGAGAGTCAGGCCCCTGGAATGAGATGCATCACTACAGTCTTCCTCAGCCCTCTTCAGCAGGTGGATTGGGACAAGGTTAGACACATAGCATCATTGTTACTCCTGCCTTTAAGAAGCCCTGTGCTTTCTGCTCCCTTTACCTGTGGGGAAGAATAGGTTCCAGGGTCCCTAGCTGTCCTTCTCTAAGGATGAAGCTTTCAACCTCTAAATCTGACTGCTGAATGATTCTTCCTGAACCGGCCTCAATACAGCCACCTTGAGGGACTCTGCTCAAGGGAGCTCTGATACCTGCTGAAATAAATGCTCGTATTAAAGATGATCACAGATAACATGACCCCAACCTCTGACCCAGCTATTCTTCCCCTCCTTGCTCCAAATTCACCAGAGGCTGGGTGAATGGCAGTCACAGCGCTTTCTGTTCTGTAGACCTACAGCAAAAGCAGGTGGACATCACTTACGTATCCTATCACGGCTATTCAGAAGAACAGGGAGATAGAAAAGAAGAAAAGAATGCTGAACAAGACTGGACAGGAAGGAAACAGAGAGGAAGAGAGAAAGAATAGCAGGAAGGAGAAAGGAAAGTGAGAACCGTGTCACAGTTAAGAAGTTTCCAGGCTCTGCTCAGGCAATCTCTTAAGAACGACAGGCATTTAAAAAGCCAAGAGCTTGCAAACTGGCAAGGCGAGCAGAAAACACCTGAAGGGACTCTTCCAATGGAAAAGCTAAAAGGAATCCACCCTGCTGGAAAATGACTACCTTATGGAAGGAGTTACAGTTTAAGCAAAATAGTGTAAGAACGTCTGCTTCAAAACCTTAAATCGACAAGTTTTCTCACTGAGCTTACTACAGGGGCAGAACACCAGAGCTCAGGATAAGCCCTGCTCCCATTCATTGTGACATCAGAAAGCCACGGAAGTGAGTAAGAGTGTTTACAACAAAGGGAAGAGAAGCTTGAAAACTCTTAAGGTCAATGATCTGGGTGCTGTTTCACTAACCTTCTATACTTGGGGTCCACATGGAGCCAGAGACTCCTCTGGTGCTGCAAGGGGCCGGCCACATGGCCAGCTGTTCACCCGGGAAGGTAAGAGACCCGCAAGAGCACAGGACAAGGTTACCCAGCTGGGGGCTGGCATCAGCACTGCTTGCCACTTCTCTGGGCTGCAGGACACCAGAGTTAAAGCAGGTTCCTGGTTCCAGCATAGCCTCAGTGCAGAAAGCTCCAGGTTGTTCAGTGTTGTGAGGGGTCAACAAAGCCTTGCTCGTCATTGCTTCACACAGCTCCCTGCTCTGCATAAAGCTGTAACGATGGAGAAAAATCAATCAATCAGCCGTACATATTGCTTTGCAAAGAGGAGGGACCCCTCAGCTAAACATTTGAATCCTGCCCTTGGCAGCTGGGAGATTAACTGCTAGATGCTCTGACTGCCTGATGCTGGGCATGGACCGTTCCCATCTATGGAGTCATGACTCCCTGGGAACTGACATGAAAGTCAGTTCCATGAACAAGTTTAAGGACTGCTTCATCTCTGAACTGTCACTGTAAAGACTTTTTCATACATCACCTGGATTCCAGCATCTTTAAATATGTTCCTTCAGGAGGCTTATCCAGATCGGCAGCTGACTGCTCCCACCCTGGGTCACAGGGCATGAGGGTTATCTCCATTTGCTCAGAGCCGATGCCTACACAAGATCCATCTGAAAGGTGCAGGCCGGGCAGGTGAAGGAACACTAATAATTACTCCAAAAAGCAATGAAACAAGTCTAATTTGCCAAATGCAGCAAGACCCTCTTATTCCCCATGACTGAAGTTTGGTCAAGATTCTGTGGAGGGGCATAGAAATACTGGGTTTTACCCGAGTACTGCCCTGATCCCAGAATCTCGGAGCTAAAACCTGCTGCCTCCCATGTATTTGCTTTCATCTGGTGCCCCTTCTGAGATGCACATCTCTTTTCATCTGTCCTTGCACAGGCCTTATCAACGTTTGCTCCTCCTACAGAGCCACAGCCTCTAGCCAAACCATGCGGCACTCCACTGAAGTAGAGTCCTCCAGCGTCCACTTGATCCATCAGCATATAGATGCTGTTCTGGGGAAGGACAGCATCCTGCCCTTCCTGAGGGAATTTAAAATTGCGTTTCAGCTTTCTGGACCACATTCTAAGCCCATTAGGAAGAGACAAACCTGCAGTTTGTGGAGTGTAGGATCCCTTATCCTGCTGCTCCTTTGTGTGGCAAGTCAAAGGCCCCTCAGGACACGAGTTGTTGAGCTTTTCTGTACGAGGGAGGCAGGATTTTTGACGTCGTCGATAATTTGCAAACCAATTATAGACCTGAGTTGGCTGCAGGTTCATGTCCCGAGCCAATCCCTCCTGCAAACCAGGTGTAGGGAGAAATCAAGGGAAAAAGAATAAACCACATCCAGATAATCAGGCTTTTCCCTTCAGTTCCAAAAGCAGCCCAGCAAAAGAGCTTTCAAACCCAGAGACGTTTCACCAGTTCACTAGGTCTCTGAGAAGGCTATGTGGATCCCATTGAGGAGACTGATTTCATAAGAGCTGCTGGAAAGCATACATTCCACCCTGCTCCCCCCCAGTCAATTTGTTTGCTAAAGGACACCATATACTAATATTTTATATTGCTATATTTAAATGTAAAACCTCATCAAAGCACGCTCTTCTCACAGAAGCACAGCTTCACATTACTAACACGACACATTATTAAGGACAGACACTAATGCATTTACCATATTAGATAGTTTTCACAAACTGTGAGCAGTATAAACATCTGTATCATGTTCACATAAAAATTTCTGCTGTATTAAACTGTTAATTAATGAGATCACATAAATGTAGAATGTATTGGGAAATTAATACATAAGTGATCAGTGTATCCTGACCTTTTAGGACTTAATTATGCAACTTCATTATGCTCCTAATTCAGATTGGGTTTCTTTTTAAATTAAAATCTGGAAGAAGGTGTTGCTGCTTTGTGAAAAGGGTAAGAAATAAACCGTCTTTACATTGCAGAACTATTCATCAGGCCATCCTGCCTCATAGGAGAATGGCATTGGAAAAATTGAGCACCACAGAGGCAGACTTTAAAGTCTGAAGCCTTCACCTTGCAAGGTAGTAATCAATAAGGATTACTGAATTAATTCACATGTCGCTTTCATTACAAATTTGTCCCTGTCCAAAGAAGGCAGGTACATGCATACATCAGCACAGCCTATCATGTTTTCAAACCCTGTAAATTTACCGTGATAAGTCTGGTAAGCAAAGTGCAATTTTATACAGGCTATAACTCAGTCAAGTCAGAACTATTTATCACTGTAACACAGCTCTTCTGAGTAACGGCTGTTTCACTGCCTATGCTCGATCACTACAAAATCAGAACTGCTAAAAGCCCAGTGAAGAACTTATTTCCCCTGATCTTTTTGTCCAAAGCAAGTGAAACTACTCAGCACG